TTTGCGATTGGATAATTATATAAAATTAGCAACTATGTCGCAAGTACTTTTTACCTATCAGTATAGCGTTTGTCATTCTTTTTCACGAAATGAAAATGATTAATAATTATTATAGCAAAATTCTTTCGTGGATGAGTCGAAATAATATGCTTAATTTAAGACTAATTAAATCAACAACATTCAGTTCGTCTTTTCTAAGTATTTCCTCGGAGAGCAGATGTTCTCAGCTTGGATTTTTTTTATTGTTCCATACAGTATTCACTGTTATGTCTTCTGTTTTGTTTTGTCTTAGTTTCTACTTTCAAGCGTTCTTGCTTTGAACTTTCGAGTGTTATTTCCGAAATGAAATATTGTTATGGGAAATTATTCTAATATGTATCCTTAACCTATTTGCTTCGATAACTGAGTTACAGCAGTATTTTGTAGCTTTTCTTGTCATGTCAGGATAGTTGAAATGCCATTCTGTCATTAAAAGAGCGATGAAACTGTGGAAGAAAGGAAATTTCCCCCATTATGAGCATTATTATATTCATGATATAATAACACCACATTTCACAGACGGAAAGGAATGGTTTAAAGGAAAAGGAATGAAAAACATGCTTTTTTTTCTCAGAGAGACTTTCATAACGCTATGTCTTACACAAAATTATATATATAGATATATACTCGTGTCCCACGCAGAGATATTGTAATATATACGTAACAACAAGCATTGTGTAAAAAAAAGAAGGAACATTACTTATAATATTTAACGAAGGAAAAACTGGAGTTACGGCTGTTTCTCTATGAATCTGGTGAGGCCATGTGTGTTTTCCTGTAAGACCTACCGCTGAGGGCTAGATCGTACATCTTCTGTAGGCTGTACATCGCAAAACTCCTTCGTCACTCTATCCACTGACGTCACTCACCGACCATCACGTTATCTTTTTACTATCACAAAGAAAGGGAAAAATCGCTTTTTTATCCCTACCATTTTATATTTACTATAAAGGGGTAAATAGATTAACAGAAAAGCAGAAAAACTGGCAGTGGATTAAAGAAAATCTGTTGTTCCCCATGAAAACATAAGACATCATTGAGCAAAACTTACACAGGAAAAATGTTGAATTTGTTATTTCTGTACTACTCCATCCAAAATATTCATCTGGTTTTGTACCGTCCAGTTATTACTTTTTTCGATTAGTACAAATCGCTTTATTAGGGAAAACCTCCAATGAAAACCAGATTCAAGAATTCGTCGAAAACATTTTCATATGAAAATTTGCAGAATTCTATTCAAAAAAGTATCGAAGAGCTTCCTGATACGTGGCAATGAACGGCGAATATATAATTGAATAAAAATGAAACTGTACATTATTTTTTAAAGAATAATGGTGAAGGCGGGAACTATTTTTGTCGCAACCTAATCGAAATTTTTAAGACCCCCACCCACGAAGAATGAAGTTTAATAGTAATGTACGCATTAATAAATTGTTAGAAATTCATCTTTCTCAGAAACAGAAATGAGTGTATTAAACGGTAATGCTCTGATAATTAGATAAATGATTTCAATAAAAAATTATCAAGAAACTGCTTCATTTACCTTAAGTCAAGAGTGAAAGACTTCGTAAATGATCGCAACATACAACAAATCAATATAAGTAATATACTAATAATATACTAATAGTACTGATGTGATTTACTTAAACTCTACGCATATCCATACAAGCAGTAAGTAAATTATTTAATTAAGGTAATCATAAAAATGTTTTAATTAATATAGTCATTAAATTTTAGCTATACTGCTTGTAATATATTAGAATAAAAATCTTGAACTCTCAAACATGTGATAACGTCAATAATAATAATAATATCTATGTAAGTATCCTCTGTTTCAAACTTATAAGGAAATAACAGCCAACAGACCTGATATTATCATAAAAGACAAGAAATTCAGGAAATGTATGCTTATTGACATAGCAGTATCACCCGAGAGAAATACCTCCATGCAAATTATCGAGAAATTCTTCAAAGACAAGGACGTGGAGATTGAGATTAACAGGATGTAGGGAATGAAGACTAAGTCTGTACCAATAGTAATCGGAGCTCTGAGTCTCGTGACAAAAGGAATGGAGAATTTTACTCACAGTGTTCCAGGTAGCAACAACATACAAGTTGCCCAGAAGATTGCCCTACTAGGAATATTCCATATACTAAGAAGAGTTCTAGCAATTAAATAACATATTTTACATAGATAAAGCCCTTCGTAAGTTGTGGGCTGTACTCGTGAGAACAAATTTTTGTATTTCTTTAATGCATGGGCTTCCAGGAATCACTTTAATTAGTCTACTGGAATCTTTTCCAACCAATCCGAGGTCTCCAACTACAATAGTGATTGTTGATGTTCCTATGTGCCACATTTTTGAGTGATGTTCCCATGTGCAAATTTTTTAGTTATTATTATTATTATTATTATTATCATTATTATTATTATTATATACCGAAAATAATAAAAATGAAAACAAGACGAAAATAAAAGTTTATCAGTTATATCTAAATCTTGATGAAAAATAAAGCCACATTAATTAATTAATATAATAAAAATATGAAGAAAATTATATTTGTTCAAATAAATCGTGGACAATTTCTATAAGTGTTTTAAATTTATCCACGGATTTCAGTTTTTGGCGACAGGGAAACAGTCAAGATGAATAAATGGATTTGGTGAGTTTAAGATTTAAATATATTTTACGACAGCAAAACATAACAAGTGTTCCATTGCTACTATTACTACTGAAAGTAATAATAATAAACCAACAACATGCAGTGATAGCAAACAAACTGATGTAGACAAACCTCGCACTCATCAGGGGTTACTCGGTGCAGGGTTAAAAACTGAAACCGAAGATTTTATTCTTGCTGTACAGGACTGATGCTTGCTTAACTATAAATTATCAAGGAAACATCCTGAAAAATTCTGTTGAATCCAAATGAAGATTATGTCATGATTACCCAGAAAACAAAACAATTGACTGTCTTGTATCAAATTGCATGGTGTTAGCATGTACTGAATATAAAACTCACTATGAGAGGCAGGACAATATCTGCTTTGGAAAATCTGCAATTTTTATGGGAAAGAAATTGCAAGAAGTTGCTATGAACAACACGCAGACTCGGTTACAGACATAGAGCATGTAACAATACTATGTAAAGTCTATCGTTGAGACCCGGAAGGAAATGAGTATACAACAGAAATTAAAAGACATAATAATAATAATAATAATAATAATAATAATAATAATAAAAGGGTATAATAATATTAATAATAATAATAACAGCAACAACGACAACAATAATAATCCTAATACTACTGCTACTACTACTACTACTACTAATAATAATAATAAATACAAGGATCTTGAAATTAAAATCACAAAATTTGGTATATGAAAACATCAATAATTACAGTTGTAGTTCGAGCCCTAGAATTGATTGGAAAATGTTACGATTCACTCATTGAAGATCTCCCTGGTAGCCTATGGCTTAAATCAATAGAAAAGTTATTCTCACAAGTACATCTCACACATTACGAGAGCCTTTATCTGTACAAAAGTGTGTTATTTTATTTTTTTACGAAAAATGGACAGTATAAGATGTCATGAAGGCAGTTCTAACCTTAGGTCTCTGGTTGAGAGCTGGAAGTAAATGTGTATACAACAGAAACCTAAGGAAATAATAATAATAATAATAATAATAATAGAAATTATTATTAGTATCAGTCAGTTATGTGCCATGAGTGATACACGTGTAGGCGATCAATACATGACTGACGAGGCAGATTTTTTCCCGCTGTAAGTTGCCATTTCTTTCTGCGGTAGACCAGTTGCCATTCAAGGCTATAGAACACGGTCTGTCCTGCTATTCACCCATAGTTTGTGGAAGAAGAAGAGGATTCATACCTTTCCAAAGGGTATTAGCACGTAAGTGAATGTAATGGATTTGACTGGAATTCGAACTCGGCTCTCTGATTCCTCAATCCGCACCGCTATCCATTACTCCGCCGTAAAAAAGTGAGAAGCAGAAACTGTAGTCGAAAAATGATATACTGTGATAATTCAAAGCCTGATCACACAGTTTTAAACAAGGAAGTAAGGAGATGCCATAGAGCAAATCTGCCTGTGCCAGCAAACCATAGGGAGAAGATAAAAAAAAAATCCCTAAAAAGCAGGCAAAATACCAGCTTGGCAAACGTTAACTAGGTAGAATATGTAGCTTAGGATCTTCGCCATAATGTATGGTACATTTAAGAGTATGTTAAGTTAGAATCGAAACGAATGAATTCGAATTTCCAGAAAGAATTGTTTTGATTAGACACCGGCGTTGCTATAGGGAAAGCAGGCTGAATATCTGAGAAAACGCCTTTCTAGAAATGATCAACTGACATCTGATGTGAACATGTAAATAGATGAATTATAAAAAAAAATGAATAATAAATAAATAGTGGAAGAATTTAATATTCGATGAATGATTAGATATTATTTATAATTTTTATTTTTGTTATCTGCAAGAGGGCAGAGAAGGAGGCTGGAATTCTGAATAAGTCCAGGAAAGCGGTGCCACTGGTTTGCAATATCAGAGACCAATTTGCCAAAAAACAAAAAAATGAAAATAATAATAATAATAATAATAATGGCACTAACCTTAAATGCTTCTCACACTTGCTTGAAAAGTAATCCGTATTCTGTTTTGCGTGCGTTTAAGCTTGGTCTGATGTTAATTCTAACGTGTACCAATACACAGGAAAGTGTTGACTCTTCTAGGAAATGCTTTCAGCGGAGAACTCTAATTTAATTGGTCGGCAACCGACGGAAAAAGTTCCGTGGCGCTTCAGCAGATTCCGAAGTATTCGGCACTTAAAAGGAAGAAAAAAAAAAGAAAAGAAAATGGACCAACATTTCTAGGAACAGGAACTTTGGTTTCTCAAGGCGGATTTAACATTGCGCAGCGCATGGAAGAATTACGTTCCGTTGACGCATCTCGTCACGAATCAATTCTTTTATAATCAGTTTAAAATAATAATAATAATAATAATAATAATAATAATAAGAAGAAGAAGAAGAAAAAGAAGAAGAAGAAGAAGAAAGAAGTGAAACAACGCAACTATTAAACTACAAATAAACATATAATATTAAAATATGACATCACATAAAATAAGGAATGAAGCGAAATAAAGTAACTACTACTATTACTACTGCTACTCCGGAAAAACTGAAAAAAAAAATAAAGAGAGGGAAAGAAGGAATAATAATAATAATAATAATAATAATAATTGGTTGTAAAATGATGTCACAGAGATGGAGAGAGAGAGAGAGAGAGAGAAAGAGAGACGACATGACCGTGTTTGCCTTAACTTCTACTGGCTCTTGTGGAAAAAAAATATGGTTACGGAAGCAAGAAATGGTACGAGCTCGTACATTGAGAATCATGGACGGAAAAGACAAGCCAAATATAGATTGAGAGGATGACTTTCAAGAAGATCGAATTATTGAAGACCGAAGACCAGATATATTCGTCCTGAACACAGGTGAAAATGAATTCCAAATAATTGATAATGTCATACCATCTGTTTACAGTATTAGTATAATAATAATAATAATAATAATAATAATAATAATAACAATAATAATAATAAATACTAAGAAAAGTGCTACCAATTAAATGACAATTTTCCTATAGGACATAACGACCATAGTTAAGGTCCAGGTCTAGAGGATACAAAGCATGAAACATAACAAATAATAATAATAATAATAATAGTAGTAGTAGTAGTAGTAGTAGTAATAATAATAATAATGCATATGTTGATATACTCTTATCAAACTTTGGGCGTTATTCGGCGTGGTGTAATGGTTAGCAAGCGGGTCTCGCTGAAAGAGTTAAAACTGAATAGTGAATTCGATCCTCACTAGGTGCCACATACTTTCGGCCATGTGCCACATCTAAGCCACGCTTAGAAAATCCATACTCTTATCAACCTTGTCTAAGTATACTTAGGACTTTTGTACACAGGCGTCTCAATTTCTGGAATGATGCTCTCCCAATCAACCCCAACAACAGTAGCATCATCATCATCATCATCAGCAGCAGCAGCAACAACGGCAACAACAACAATAATAATAATAATAATAATAATAATAATAATAATAATAATAATGAACAATAAAACGGGATAATGTTGTGAATAAAATATGCTTATTGACATAGCAGTATGATCTGAGAGAAACATCCATGAAAATTATGGAGAAATTGTCCAAATACAAGAACCGACATTAAGAGGATATGGGGAATGAAGACTGAGACTGTGCCAGTAGTAATCGGAGCTCTGGGCCTCGTGAGAAAAGGAATGGACAATTTTACTAACAGTGTCCCAGGTAACATCAACATACAAGATCTTTCTACTAGAAACATCCAATATACCAAGAAAAGTGATATCAGTTAAATGACATTTCTCCTTTACGGCCCAAGGACCATAGTTTGGACCCGACTCTACAAGATACAAAGCAGGAGACATAACATACACAAATAATAATAATAATAATAATAATAATAATAATAATAATAATAATAATAATAATTAACATCAACTGAATATCGCCTACAGATCGTAGTCCAAGATCGCAAAAGAAATGTACATTCTTATTTTCATGGCTGTCTCTGCAGAGTGTAATGTATCTATGAAAATTTCAAAAAAACGATCAAAATACAAGGATCTTGAAGTGGAAATCTGAAAAATATGGCTCATGTGGACATCAATAATTCTAGTTGTAGTTGGAGCACTAGGATTGATTGGAAAAGGTTCAGAGAGGCGCATTGAAGGTTTCCTGGTCGCCCCCAAAATAAAAACAAATAAATATATTCACAAGTTCAGCCCACACATAACGAAGAGTTTTATTTATATAAAATGTGTATGATTTTAGGGTTGTTTGGATTTTTCTTTTACAAAAATACTCGGGGAAAAAAATCTCAGGAATCCATTTCTGGCTTTAGGTCTTTGGTTGATTTGGTTTGGTTTTTCTTTGACGGCATATCAACCTCAATGGGTCATTTAATGCCAACAACTTTTTTTTTTCCGGGTAATATTTTTGTTTTGTCAAAAATCTATTTCTGGTAATATTTTTTTCCTCAAAATTGTAGAGCTGTTAATAATTTTTTCTCCTAAAAACGTATTGTTGGTAATTTTTTTTTTCAAAAATTAATTTTGCACAAAATATTTCTGGTATTAAAACCTACTTTTACACTTTCATAATGCTTTTTACCTCAGTTTTGGTGTTAACTATTTACCCATAGCTGGGACCCTAACAGGTGCTACCACCAAGGGTTACGGTGAACCTGGGAACATCAGCAAATAAGAGGTGGTTCCACGCTCCTCAAAGCCTTCTGATAAGAGGCCTTGCTATTGGATGTAGTTTATCGTCTTACCCTGGGCGCGGATGTAGTTTACCGTCAAACCCAAGACGGTCTCTGGTTGGGATCCGGAAGGAAATGTGTATACAAAAGAAATCAAAGAAAATAATAATAATAATAATAATAATAATAATAATAATAATAATAATAATAATAATAATGTTCTCACGAGTACAGCCTACACCTGACAAAGGGCTTTATTTTTTTTTTAAATTGCTCGGTGGAAAATATCATAATGCCATTTATGACCTTTGATCTTTGGTTGAGACCAGGAAAGAAACGAGTACACACCAGAAATCAAAGGAAATAATAATAATAATAATAATAATAATAATAATAATAATAATAATAATGTTCTCATGAGTACAGCCTACACCTGACAAAGGGCTTTATTTTTTTTTAAATTGCTCGGTGGAAAATATCATAATGCCATTTATGACCTTTGATCTTTGGTTGAGACCAGGAAAGAAACGAGTACACACCAGAAATCAAAGGAAATAATAATAATAATAATAATAATAATAATAATAATAATAATAATAATAATAATATCAACACCTATTGATATACTTACAATGATAGAGTTTTAAGCTAGTCAAGGCGAACAAGGTTTTTACTAATGACTCTGAGCTGATCTTCGATAAGTATCGCGAACTTTTAATAGAACAGACAGGCAACTAATCTGATTAGAAGTTTGATTTTGCCAAATTATGAAAAATGCCGGAAAAATGTTAAAATCATCACAGCAGTGAGTGGGACACTCGCCTCCATCGCATTAAGAATATGTCGAGCAACACACACTTTGCGAACGCTACAAAAATATCTACTTCATAGGATACAGTAGCATCTTCCTTGGTACTCAAGAGATCTACACATCAACTGTACCATAATAAATCAACAACAACAATAATAATAATAGCAATAATGTAGAAATGTAATATCTAAGAGAAGGTTTTTTTTTTCTGCTTGGAGTTTTTAATCATTAATCAACGTGACAGCCATTAAAAACTGAAAATTGACTTCTCAGGAATAAAGCAGTCAGTTATGTGCCAGGCGTGATACACACTTAAGCGATCATGTATCTTTCGATACATGACTGATGAAGCAGATTTTTCTCGCAGTAGGTTGCCATTTCTTTCGGCGGTAGACCAGTTGCCATCTCAGGCTATAGAACCGGGTCTGTCCAGCTATTTATCTTTTTCATGGGTATTAGAGCGTAAGTGAATGTAATGCATTCGACTGGAATCCGAACTCGGCTCTGCGATTCCTCAATCCGAACCGCTATCCATTACTTCACAGTGCGATACCATCAGGTAAAATTACATCTATTAAGGAACATAAAATATAAGTAAATATTAAGATACTGAAATTAAATAAATATGGCTACTGTTTTATCTACAATGAGTGTAGACCAGATTACAATTAAAAAAAGTACAGGCAAGAGTATTAATAAGATCTCTACGAGCACCCTGGTTATAAGACATTCAAAAAGATTGCATTGGGTGCAAGCTGTCATCTATGGAGGAGAATATTATGAATATTAAAAAAAAAACACTGTACATGTTAAGTAACACTTAACATCAAAATTTCTGCAAACAAAATGTTATTAGTACTTTGCCTTACCCCAGGTCACGGAAATAATTCAGAATGCATTATATTGAACTGTATGAATAATAATAATAATAATAATAATAATAATAATAATAATACACAGACTGAACAATCAAAGCTAATCGGCCTGACATTGGTATCAGAGACTGCAAACAAAAAATTGCGTCAGACTGCAATGTCTCTTTGAAGATCTTCAGAAAGCTATTAAAATACAAGGAATTTGGAATCGAAATCTCAAAAATGTGGCACAAGTGAATATCAACAATTCCAGTTGTAGATGGAACCATCGGAGTCATTAGAAAAGGTTCCTAGAGACTCATTGAAGGAATTCCTAGAAGCACATGCCTTAAAGAAATACAAACAATTGTTCTTAGTAGTACAGCCCACATCTTAGGAAGGGATTTATCTATGTAAAATATGTGTTGTTTTTTTTGTTTCGTTTTTCTATTTGTCAGTGGAAAATATCAAGATGCTATTTCTAACCTTAGGTCTCTGGTTGGGACTCGGGATGAAATGAGTACACACCAGAAATCAAAGGGAATAATAATAATAATAATAATAATAATAATAATAGTAACAGAGATTGGCACATTGGGATTAATCCCAGTAATATTGTGGAACTTCCTTAACCAGCTAAGGATAACATACCAACTTGGAGTCATCCAAAACACGGTTCTTTTGATCACTTCACATATTTTGAGGAAAGGATCGTCTGCCTGATATCCTTGATATGAATTTACAGATAACTTAATGTATCTGGACTATTCGAGAACTTGCACTTCATAATAAGACAAATAATTATAAGAAGCAGACGAAGAACTAGTAAACAAAAGTGTTAAAATGATCATTATGCACTAAAACGTCTATAAATTCTGAAGAAGGCTGAAGAATGGATCGTCTGAATACTTTTGCCAGCATCAACACTAAAATGCATTCGAATTGTGTTGGCACATAGATTAAACCGTCGACGTGATAATAAACATATGCATAGCATTAGCTCAGATCAGATGCAAAAGTATACATGGCTGGGTAGGAAGATTAATTAATTGGGAATTTTCAAAAAATTGGAAAAATGGTATTCGATCATGCAATGTCAGTGTTTATGGATGAAATCAAATAAAAGGGTAGCATTCTTGGAAAAAATGAGAGTTTGGAATTGGAACGGATCGCCAAATCATCGAAAAATTCTTTTCTTAAAAGAAACATTCATTACGGTAAGCTAGAAAATTCTTTAGATAGAGATTGTAGCATTTCAAATTTTTCACACATCAAAATGAAGAAAATTGAAATGATGGGGAAAATGTCTAAGACCTTTACAAAGGTAGGAAAATTGGTCTCGAATGGTGATTTTCTTCCGTATGATCAAAGAACTCGGAACCGGGGTTAATGGCGAATTCGTTTAGAAAGTTGA